GTAATTTTATTTGGCTGAGGGCTAACCGAGAGACCTGCCTGTAGGGAAGTTCGTGAGGGACAGATCTGTAAATCCGGGAAAAACAGGCCCGGTACTAACCCGAATTCCTACCGCTACCCTAACTGCCTATAGCAGGCCCGGGCTACTCCTAGGACAGACAGGCCCTAAGCGGTCTATACTGCCAAACGGTCCTATAGCCTATAGCCGGGTCCGGTAGAGGCCGAGAGGCCGAAACAGCAACGGTACCGGTCGGTCAGTCGGTCTAGTCTAGGTCTAGTGTAGTCTATAGATAGGTTAGGCCCATCGGTTCAGGACTTTGGACGGTTCATTTCTCGCGAGCAGCGTTGGAGAAGCCAAGCAAGTTGGTGGCGGTGCTGGTCTGCAGGCAGCATCCTGAGACGCGCCGTGACAGCAGCCATAGCCGGCCCTCTCTGAGTCTGCCATAGCTGGGGCATCCTCAGCGCATCTACCCCTGGGGGTATCTGAGTATGGCCGGGCTGTATCGAGGCTCTACAGTGGTGGTTCGTGGGTGGTGGCAGCCATAGCTGCCTGTTCCTTCGTCAGAGTTGTCCATCGGCACTGAAGACTTCATCGCAGGACCTCTTCTTCATCACGGTGGTTGGCGCTGGCCTCGGGGAGGCTGTTTTGATGCAGCGCTACTAACTGGGTGTAGGAGAGAGAGTGGGGTGTGAGTTCTGAGCGTGGCGAGATACTGGAACAAACTCTGTGACGATAATTGTGTGAGTGGCTCATCATCAGTGACAGTTTCAATTGTGATCTTCGCAGGTTCTTTCTTGTGATTGGTTGTTGGGAGTTGTGTCAGAGAGTGAGAAACAGTGTGTGTCTTCTCCCCAGCTGTGCATAATTGTCTTCCGCTGCTTATCTTCATCTATGTGCAGTTTGGACTCTGTCTCCTCTCTCCCCTTCTCTTATGCATGTATGGGCATGTGTGAGATTGTCTGTGTGTGAGTGGCGAGAAAATTCGTCAGACAACCAAGTTCATAACAGTTGGTATCGGAGCGAAATTGGAATTGGAGCACTGAGGGTTGAGCGCACTTAGGCATCTTCTTCATCGTGGCGATATACTGGAGAGAGTTTCATGGCGATTCATCTTCCCCAGTACTGAGTCAGTAGGGAAGAAGACTTTCAGCGGTGAATTCAAGTGTTCAGTGGTTGCATTGAACAAGTGCACTGAGCCTGTCAGGGCGCTTGGCAGGAAGTGGCGAGTACAGGGCTATTTCGCCAAAGCCAACCCTGAGGGACCGTGAGGGTGATACAGCGAATTACCCCAGAGTGGCGAGTTACCCCTGAGGACATCAGGGAATCCTGAGCGGCAGCATCCCTGGGTTGCGCTGAGGGAGATTGACCTACAATAGCAATCTCCAGGAAGAATAACCCCATCTGGGGCTATTTTTAGTATCAGCGGCTACCTGACCCTGTGGCGAGATGGTGCCACAGAACCAGATACAGGGTATCTGGACTAAGGGAGTGCAGCGCTACAGGATCCTGAGGAGGATCAACGATTTTGAAGCAGTTCTGTGCGTGGGATTGTCAGGAAGAAGCTCTGGAGTAAACTGGCGAGATAAGGGTTTCATCTGCCATAGCCAGATCTTCATCATCGCCTGCAAGATTCGCAGAAAGTGAATCCGTTCCATGCACCTACCTGTATTGCGATCCAAATAGTAGTAGATTAGTGAAAGATAATGGTCTATCTGTCTATAAGTGACTGGATATGAAAATCACAGACTGCATAACAGCCATAGCCATCTCTCCCCTACCTCTCTCTGTTCATATCTCATCCTCTGTTGACTCTTTCTGATCCAAATTGCTTCTGTGTTGTATTGCAATTATCCTGGGATGCTCAAACAGTGAATTCTGTACTGAAAGGGTAGTGATACTGTGAATTATAGTTTTGCGTTGAGTCTATTTTTAGCCTGTGCTATCTAGGGTCAGTCATAACTCTAATTTTGTCCGTCAGAATTCAGTTTTGTCAGTCCCCAGTGAATCGCAAATTGAAAACAGTCAGTACTGTCAAATCGCAGATTTGGATTTTTAGTATTTCACGGGATACAGTAAAAACTGGAATTCGCCATACCCTAGTGTATGGCCGCCAGAGTCATCAGGGTCTGAAAGTGAGTTTGAGTCGGGATACAGGGTATCTGTCTGCATCGCTTGTGGTATTTGATCTCTCTTGTCTGTACTAACCACTTTCTATCATTCCCACTAACTACTCTTGTTTTCTAGTGGGCACTGGAAATTCTAGTGGGTCTCTGGAAAAGTAGTGGAGTGACAGTACTAACTCCAGTGTGGTCTAGGGTCAGTAAAAGGAAATCGTGTGATTGATTTTGTTGGACTTACAGTCTGTCTGACACCTAACCCCAGAGACATCCTTCTAACCCAAACCGTTGATTGCATGCACACCCACCTATTCCAGTGTTGAGTTGCTGTAGCGATTCCAGTGTATCTGCAGGAATCTGAGTATCGATGCAACTCTGTTTGCTGTTATTTTATTTTAGGGTTTTATTTGAACTGGGAAAATGTCGGATCAGGGAAATGAGCAGCAGCCACGGGTAGAGGTTGTGGTGAAGGCAGAAGGTGAACAACCTTCTACCTCCATTACCCCCCCTCCACCTCTGACTGCTACTCAGAGGCTGAAGAAGGAGGCGGAAGAACAACTCAAGCTGCAACAGGCCAGAGTAGCCGAATTGGAACGGCAGGAGGCTGCTGAACTAGAGGCTGCAACAGATCACTTCAGAAGGGAGTATCTGTTGCAGCAGCTAGAGAGGTCACTCACTCATGACCGTTGTGCCCAGATCATAAAGCATATGGATGAGATGATCCTGCTGGAGCACAAGATCACCAGCTCCCAGTTCACAAACTCGGATGACCGTTTTCTGCGGCTGGAGCGTCGGGTTGACGAGCTGTCAGCTCAGCAGTCCAAGATCCTGGACTCTATTCAGGGCTTGTCTACTCAGCTGGCAGCCGCCAAGCTGATTGCTCCTCAGCTCCCTCTGCTGCAACCCAAACCCTCTCCTCCTCCTTCACAACCTCCTCCCCTCCTCCATCCCATGCTGGATCTGCACATTCCTCCCGGTCATCTACCCCTTCCCAAAAGGCCTCAGTAAAGGCCACCTATGTTGCTGTGACTGCAGCAGACAGAGGTCCCAAGCTCCCTGCTCCCAACAAGTTCAGGGGCGATGACCCCAAGACTGATGTTGGGAACGAGGCTGTTGGGACCAGAGCCTACTTGAGGGGCTTTGTCTGTGAAGAACAGACCAAGGTGGCAACCGTTTTGGGGCTGTTGGAAGGGCCTGCACTGAAGTGGGCCACCTCAACTTCCAGCAGTCTGCAGCAGTCCATGGAGGACTGGGCCTTTGGGTTGGGGGAAGACAGACTTCTGCAGGCCCTGGAGGATCGGTTTGCAGACAAGGAGCGGGCCCGCAAGGCTGCTGACAGGATTGCTCACCTGGGACAGCAGCGGTACAGCGGTACCCTACAGGCCTTGTTTGCTGAGTTCGAGCAGCTCACCTCCACCCCTAGGCTGGTCATGGCCCCTAATGATATGTTGACCAGCTTTTGCAGAGCAACGCCTGAGAAGTTCGCTGAAAAAGTACTCCCCCTCCACAGCCTCAGCCACTACTAAGGGGAAGGACAAGGGATGTCGACCTTCCTCTTCCCAGCCTCAGGCTGTGTTGGGAGNCTTCCCAGCCTCAGGCTGTGTTGGGAGCTCTGCAAGCGCAGAAAAAGTACTCCCCCTCCACAGCCTCAGCCACTACTAAGGGGAAGGACAAGGGACGTCGACCTTCCTCTTCCCAGCGCCCTAATCTGCCTCGAGACGTCCACATGCCAGCTGAACCTCTCAATCCCTCCACACTCCCCTGGCATGACCTCAAGATCCAGGAGGAAGTCTGGAGAAGAAGAAAGGAGAGAGGGGTTTGCCTGAGGTGTGAGGGCCAGCACTTCTTGAAGGACTCCCCTTACATGCCAGGCCCAGGTACTCAGTCAAAAAACTGAAACAGACCCTAGGGACTGCAGTTCCCTCCAGTGTTGCATCTTCATCTACTCAGATAGGTGAATCTGCAGCTGTTTCAGTTGAAACTAATGATGATGATGTGTGTTTGGGGACTGCGCGGGCAGCATCCTTCTGCTATGAGGATCCTGACCCGGATCAGGAACCGGGGCAGGATGAACTGCAGTCTATAGCTGCCTTCTTCTTTCATCTGAAAGAACAGAAGAAGAGCAAGTCTGAGCTCATCATGCTTCGGCCACTGATCAACAGCACCACGATCACTGGGCTGTTGGACTGCGGGGCCACCAGGAACTTCATGTCTCCTTGTGCAGTTAAGAAACTGCACTTGGGCATGAAAGTTCAGCAGCTGCAGCATCCGCTGCTGGTGCGAATTGGTAACTCTACAGTACTCAGCATCAGGGACCTTCGATACTGCAGGAAAAGTCAGACACAGTCTGAACTTTTACATTTTCCCTGAGCTTCCCTTTGACTTGGTGTTCTCCATGCAGTGGTTGAGGGCAGTCAACCCTAGGATCGACTGGCAGATCCCTAGAGTTGAACTACCAGACAGCCAGGGGGTGTATCAGCAATGCATGATTGTTGCTGATCACCACCCTAAGACCTCCTGCTACTGCCTGAGAGCGAGGGAGTTTCATGCTCTCTCTCGCCAGTACCACCATGAGCATATGTTTATTGCTCTGGTCAAGCAAACAGATGCTCCCCCTGTTTCCTGTCCTCCTGAGATACAGCAGGTGGTAGATCAGTATGTTGGTCTGATGCAGGAGCCCTTTGGACTTCCCAACCGGCCAACCAAGCATCACATCGAGTTGCTGCCTGGAGCGGTTCCTCCCAAGGGCTGCATCTACAGGATGTCCCCTGCTGAGCTTGAGGAGCTCAGAAAGCAGCTTGAGACCCTGACCAGCAAAGGCTAGATCAGACCTAGCACATCTAAATTCGGTGCACCTGTCCTCTTTGTACCCAAAGGGAACGGCGAGTTCAGGATGTGCATTGACTACAGGGGTCTCAACAAGATCACTTGGAAGAGTATTGAGCCACTTCCTAGGATCGATGACCTCCTGGATATGGTGCAGGGATGTACAGTGTTCAGCAAAGTCGACCTCAAATTTGGCTACCACCAGATTGAGATGGCAGAGGAGGATGTCTACAAGACAGCCTTCAAGACCAGGTATGGGACTTACGAGTTCCTGGTCATGCCATTTGGACTTTGCAATGCCCCAGGCACATTCCAGACAGAGATGCACCGCATCTTCAGGCCTTACCTGGACAAGTTTATGGTTGTCTACCTGGATGATATCCTGGTATTCAGCAAAACTGTCAGGGAGCATGCGGAGCACTTGGCTTTTGTCCTTCAGTCGTTACGTGACAGCCAGTACAAGATCAACAGAGAGAAGTCCTCTTTTGGAGTTCCCTCTGTCATCTATCTGGGTCATGTAATCTCTGGAGATGGTCTGGCTCCTGAAGCAGCCAAGATTGCTGCTATTCAGGAGTGGCCTCAGCCTCAGACAGTGAGGGATGTCCGGTCTTTCATGGGTTTGGCCTCCTACTACAGAAAGTTTGTCAGGAACTTTTCTGCAGTGGTCGCACCCCTGACTAACCTTACAAAGAAGGACACTCCCTTTCTTTGGTCCCTCCACTGTCAGTTGGCCTTCACACGACTCAAGAAGGCCTTGACTCATGCGCCTGTCCTGAAGTCACCTGACCCCACTCTGCCATTTATCCTGACCACTGACGCCAGTCAGTATGGCATTGGGGCAGTTCTTCAGCAGGATGATGGGAATGGTCTACGGCCTGTAGAGTTTATGAGTAAGAAGATCAAGACTCAAAAGCTCCAAGACTCTACCTACGAGAAAGAGCTTTATGCTCTTGTCTGTGCCCTGAAACATTGGAAGCACTTTCTCCTGGGCAGGCACTTCAAGATCTTCTCAGATCACTCCACCCTGCAGTGGATGAAGTCCCAGAGAGAGTTAAACGATAAGTTGGCACGGTACATTCAGTTCATTGACATGTTTGACTTTGAACTGAAGCACAAGAAGGGCTGCTACAATAAGGTAGCAGATGCCCTTTCTCGTAGGCCTGACTCTTTTGCGTTGATCTCCTCTACTCACTCCTTTGGAGAGGAGACCCGTCAGACCATTGCTCGTCTACTGCCTCAGGACGAGACTTTTGGACACATAGTCAGGAATCTGCAAGCAGATCCTAGCTCTGAACCAGGCTATGCTCTGAGTTCAGACCTCCTGTATACTTACAGCAGAGGTGAGGAGCGCTTGTGCATCCCTCAGGACCAGCGGCTCAGGACACTGCTGATGTCAGAGTGTCATGATGCCCGTGGACATTTTGGGTTCCTAAAGTTTTATGCAGCCCTGTCGCAGTGCTTCTTCTGGAAGGAGATGCGGAGTGAGATGCTGCGTTATGTGGATACCTGTGAGCTCTGCCAAAGGAACAAGGTTCAGCGTAAACCTCCTTTGGGATTGCTCAAACCATTACCCATACCTAATAACAGCCATTTCGTCAAAACGGACATATTATATTTTTTGAACGAAATCAAAACTGACTTTTTTTGCCAAAATCCGGTCGGAATTTTTTGATCCTGGGTGTTCGGCGTTCCCAAAACGTCGGACCCCCCTGGTCTATGGTTGAGACCAGATACAATTTTTTTTTTTTTTTTTTTTTTT